ACACATTCCATCGATAGGATGAGCAAAAACGAAATGAATCTTCCGCTGAAACATGGAAATATACACTGCCACTTTTTGAGCAAAATCGGAATGAATCGTTTGTGTGTGTGCGTGTGTGTGTGTGTGTGTGTGTATGTGTGTGAGAGAGAAAGAGAGAGAGACGACAAATCTCCGACCTCGCAGCTCACGCCATGCTACTTCCATCGACAAGATGCGCAACATCAAATGAATCTTCGGCTAGAACATGGAAATATACACTACCTGGTTGAATATGGCCGACCGCGTCATGCTACTTCCCAACCCCCCCCCCGGCGCAGCCCGAAAAAAACGGTAGCCAAAAAAGAGCCGGTTCATAAAGTCGCACCGACACCAACCGCCCCCCCAAAAAATAGCAGTTAACAGAAAACCCCGCCGGGCCCACGAAGCCGCGCCAATACCTACCCAAAAAAAAAAACGGCCCTTAACAAAAAAACGCGCCAGGCCCAAGGTGCACCGGGCCCACACGGGAAAGGTCTCAGCGAAACGCGTCACGCGAGCCCCGCGTTTTGCTTTACAGTATTAGGGATAAAGCCCGGTCAGGCAAAATTTCCTCTTTGCAGTGGCAGATCGCCCACCGCTGCCTCCCTACAAATGCTTGGCTAATAGATCACACTCACCTGGAACAGAAAGGGGCTGCACTGCCCTGGTGTCATCGGTGCCTGACGGCCTTCCCCTCACGTAAATGCAACGAGACCATCAAACACATTTTTATGCAGTGTCCGGTGGCCGTGCTGACGTGGTGTTGGTGGGACAGGGTATGGCCCAAAGATAGTACCGGACACTCCCTGGCCGCGGTCCTGGAGGGCAATCCTGACTGGACACTGCCCCGAAATGGCTACAGCATCTTCCTACACAGGAAACTGGTTCAGTCTTGGTAGAAGAACAGTCCTCTGGGCCCTGTGGTGGCAGCGATACCTCCTCAGCCTGGAAAGTGTTATTGACTATTATTTTATTATATATATAGATAGAGTATTTATATATAGATAGAGTATTTGATTTTATCTATATTATTTAAGTATGAAATAAAAATTAGATAAGAATAAATAATACTGTATTGAATAAGAAGGGGGAATTACATATATTTTTCTCTTTCTATCTTAGGCCCTGACTCACCCTCCGTGGACGAACCTTGCGGAGGAAAGAGCGAAAGACGGAGAGCTCAGGGAACAGATTAAGGAACAGTTCCAGATGGAATTGCTGCGTAGATGGTATGATTTGAAGAACCAGCTGGATACCTTCCAAATGGACCAGGACATTAAGCGGGCCCTTAAGGCTTTCTGCATGGAATGGCTCGGAGGAGACCGAGGGGGATGGGTAGCTCAGATTCAGTGGGGAGGGGATCAATTAGGTGGACAGGCTGGAGCAGAACAACCCCCCCCCCAGAGATTACCGCCTGGTTTTTAATGATTGGACCAATTTCAAGCCCTCGTTTCCTATGCGACCCCCTTCTGATTTCCCGGACCCTTTCCCTCCCCACCAGCTTTCTTTAGTCGAGCCCCTCACTTAAACATTCCCCCCCGGGTGCCCCCCCGGGGTAACACAAAGATGTCTAAAGATATAGCAGGAAGGGATGACAGCTGGTCACACCCGGCAGATGACTGCATGGTTGCATGGTTGCAAGGGGACCGTTCGAGGAAGGGCTGGGTGACAGGAAGACCCACTGGTGCCCCCCAGCGGCTCCTCCCAGTACCCTGACCAGATGAAGGGTTGAAGAAGGAGAAGGGGATCAGCTGGACTCCTACTCGCCTACAAATCTCAGGCATCTTTCTGCATAAGGGCTGCTGTTTCCAGGCCCATGGCATCTGCAGATTATGGACAGCTGGTTTGGTGATTACATTTAGAGAGCCTTCACAACCAGTTCTGGAGTCCAGAGCAGTCAATACTGGCAGGTTTTCCTCCAGTTATTGCTCTAAGAAATCGTTCTCCCAAGTTTTTTTTCCAACGTCCTGCTCAGTCAATCCCCTGTAATCCAGGGTAATCAATGCTGGCAGGATTTTCTCTCTGATGTTCTCTGAGTACATTCTGTAAAAGTGACGCTGGACCCGTTTTCCAGCAGGTGATGCTCCCCGCGAATAGATGGAGCCTCTCCCCGGGTGGTAGTGGTGTCTGCTTTTATCAGCACTTCTAGCACCGGTGGGGGTTTCTTCAAAAAAAAAGAAAAAGAAAAAGAAAAAAAAAAAGACATAACATGGTTCCCGTGGAAGGGGAGACTGGAAACGAAAACTTTATTCGCCCCCGCCCCAGCAGCGATCCCCATTCCCTACGAAATGCAACCATCTCCCTCTCCTCTCCCAGTCTGATCTTGCCTGCCTTGATCCCATCGGCCATGTCCTGCTACCATCCCATCCTCTCCCAATAACATCTGATCACCTAACACTTATTTTTTTTCTTTTTTCTTTTTCGAAGAGCAAAAGGATGCGCTTTCTCAACCCGAGACGAAAAATTAGACAGCCATACATTCACCCCCTCTCTGGACAATCCTCACACTAAGACTTTTTCGACGGAGCTCAGGAGGTGATTACAGGTGGACGCATCGAAGTCAGGCTGTGATTGCACTCAGAACCACTCAGGGATGTGTTAGTGCAAGTATGTCTTTAAAGTGTTTTCTCCTGCCCAAAAAACACAGCCATGAGTTGCAGTGCACACACACACCTCGCCTGTACCAACTTGCTAAACTTACCTACGATCCCCCAGGAGTGGTGTCCGTGTCCATGTCCCCTCATCTTCCAGAGAACATTAGCCATCTCCTCACGCTTTCGCTTGGTGCGCAGACCAAAAGATGGAGGCGGAAAAGAAAAACCAAAAACGGGCCGACATTGGGCCCCGACACACCACAGACCAAACATACGAAAAAAAAAGAGAACGGGCCGATATTTTATTGGGCCTCAACGCACCACATACCAAAACGCTCCACTACTCTCCACATGCGCAAAAGACAAACTATGGCGGTGTATCTTTCCATGTTTTAGCGGAGGATTCAGTTTCATTTTGCACATTTGGGGAGTAGTGGAGCGAGGCCCAATATCACCTGTTTTCATGACATGGAGCGGTAGTTCGCTGTTCTTTTTTTTTTTTTAAGGGGCGAGAAAGTCGCGCCCCACCTGTAGTTTGTTTTTTGTCAAAAGTGTTTTCAGGCAAGCCATCGATAGAGGTCGGGAAATTCGCTGCTTATCGGACGGCCCATCTCACAGACGGGCAGAATCGGCTCCCGGCCTTAGGAACTTTAATAGAATGTAGAAGATTTAGGCACTGGTATCCTAGAGCGGCCTGCCACATAACAAGGTGGCCAGGCCCAAGCTATACTGAAATGAAATAGTAACATAGCAGTGACTGGAGGGAGGAAAAGGACAGAAGGAGGGAGCTCTGACGATTGAAGTGGAATAAACTGTGTATGTAACAAGAAGAATGGAGAGGAGGACAACGAGGAGGAGGCGGGGTGAGGAAAAGAGTCAGGAGTGGAGAGGAACCGAGGGCACAAAAGGTAGGAAGGAAGCTGAGAGAAGGAAGGTGGGAGTAGGGAGAAAGTAGGGATGAAGGATATAAGGAGTGAGGAAAGGCGAGGGAAGAAGGTAGGAAGGATGGAGAAAGAGGTTTCCAAGGAAGAGAAGAGCGAGGAAAAGGCAAGAAAAGTCCACAATGACTAAACAAAGATACTTATTTACTGCAATCAGGATGGTAGACTCACATCTTCATCATCATCTTCTTCCTCCTGTGGCACAGCCTGCTCCTCCACTCCGTCCTCGCTGAAAACAGACTTGCCAAGCAGCTTCTTCAGCTCCTTACCGGATTTGCTGAGTCCCTCTCCTTCCTGCTCCTCCTCCTCACTTTCCTGTCATCAAATGCATCATGAGTTATTGTCTGTCATCTTAACTTCGCCTATTGTGAACAAAGTTGTCTCACAAAAGTAACAGGCATTACCAAGGACTGAGGGGCAAGTAAGCTGGGAGCCCCCCACAGTTATTAACTGTCACCAAGATCTCTTCTGAAATGGGACAAACCTTGTATAGGAAAGTAATTCGCACCCTCCTCCCGAACAGGATGACAGAGGCACATCCCAATTCCCCTCACTCGTAACCTAGGTAGCATGTGTTATCTGACCGGATAATCTGGTTGGATTATCTGGCTGGATGATCGGGAGGTAGGATTATCCGGAAATCCGGATAATTAAAAAAATGGCCAAAAAAAGGGGGTGGGCCCCCGTGAAACAGTTTTCACCTTTGGCAGTAGCCGATGCAGATCCCAGGGGTCGATCCCTTGACCTCAGCTTACCTGTGTACAGTATCTGCACAGTTC